GTCCAGGCTCTGGGTCCCACTTTGGGGCCTGAGGGTTTATTTGTTCCCCACTGAGACACCCCCCCACCCCTGTCTTCAGGGAGCGTCACTATCACTCACTGCCTCCCTTGTCACATCCCTGCTCCTGCCACCCCTGGAGTTGAGTCAACCAACCTTATTCCCCTCTACCTCCGTGGTCAACTGAGAAGGGGAGAGGCAAGAGGCATAGAACTTGGGATCACAGCAGCAGGTAGTCCTCAGCAGCCCAACTTACCTCTTCAATTACCTCTTCTCTATGGTGGGAGTGGGGACTAAGTTGCTGTAGCCCACCCTTTGTGCAACTTGGCAGTGCTAGAGGAAGCTGCAGTGTTTTGAAACCTTCCGTTTGTGGGGAGGGAAGGGGGAATGCCATAGGGGCAGTATGTATGCCCTCTAGCTGAAATGATTCCTTTTTGAAAAGTTTTCAAGTGCATTTCACTTGGAAATATTTCAATTATTTATGTCTGTCTGCACCCTTAGGCTCCTATAAATAGGATCTGCAGTGTTTAGCACACCTTCCAGAAGGACACCTAAACCAGTCAACAGGAAATGACAAAAAGAGGGGACTGGTAGCTGAAATCCTACCTATTTGCCACATTTAGGAGTTCACCTGAAGCCCTAAGTTTGGCACCTCTGTAAGAATGGCTTGAAAACTGCAGCTAAACTTAAATACCTACATTGCCACTTGCTGTGCACAGGTAGTTGGCTCACTCAGGAAAGAGGAGAAGGTGATGGTAGTGATAGCCACCTCTTGCATAATAACCAAATAGTTATAGCACTCAGGAAGTGAGATCAGGCTTGAAGGTCCACCTTGATTTTTAGGGATTCAAATGCTTATCTCCAGCATCGCAGTAAGGGAAAGTCCTAATCACTGAGCTACAAAATAATTCAGGAGGGAGAACATCCTCCATTATTCATGTTGAAGGTTGGCCACTGTATAGATAAGGAGGCAAGAGTCATGGATCCAAAAGAACATCAAGAAAAAGGAAGCCTATCTGTAGCCAATTCACTGGAAGAGGTGACCTGGGATCTGATCTTTGCTGACAGTTGCGTTCATGCATTTTACTTGGTGCCTGTTAAAATACACAGGCAATATTCTGGAGCAGAAATCAGACTCTAGAAGTCCCATTTCCCAAGACAGTGCCCAACTTAATGGATTGAATAGTTGAGCTTCTGCTTGCTTGTTCTCCTGTAGGCTCCTTGAATCCTGCATTCCTTTCTGCCCAGTAGCACATCTCCAGCAGTAGTGAAGAATGCCTTCAACTGTGCATAGCCTATAATCCGGTGATTTTGGCAGTATCCTCAGAAGTGGCAGATTTGTGTTTGAGGCAAATTCTTGAAGAGTAAATTCAGCCCACCTCTCCCAATTCCTGGTCAAATGCTTTAACCATTAGGCTATTGCAAAACAATTGTCTATCACCAGATGTAAGTGTTTGTGTTTGCTGAACCCAGTGTTGTCAGTATATTTTAAACATCTTAAAGCAGGCTTACGGGATCAACCCAGGAGGAGTCAGGTGCAGGCACACCTAGTTTGTGAATTGCAAACACCCCGTGGTGAGGTTTAAACACTTAGACTTTAGGCTCAGACAATATGGTAACAGTTCTGAGCACAGTAGATGAATCTGAATAACCGATCTTTATGTTCTGTGGCTTGCTCACTCCAACTTGGAGTCTGGCTATACTGTTTTAGTGGCTCTCCTCAAAGCTCAGCTGAGAAATACACCGTAGTCACCTGCCTCTACTCTGTGTGTCACACCCAGCAGCGAAGAGTCCCCAAAGGAAAATCCCGCCTCTTCTCTCAAACATGACCAAAGCAGGAGACCTTGAGGGCAGCACTGTCTTATTTCTGGGTTTTGTTCATGTGTAAGAGTACTGCACACAAAGGTTTGAGTTGTCAGAGATATGCTTGGAAAGGCTGTGAGGCTGTTGTGAGATCTGTGTTTGCCTCTAGCCAGTTATTTCATATAACGTGAATGTCAAGCACAAAACACACCATTTATATGTTAAAAGGGGCTTGAAAGCTGATCCAAATGGTATTAAAAACAATACAAAAATTCAGATTGATTTTGCTGAGCTTTGGATCAGGACCTTTGCTATCTAAAGCACTGACAATGGGCTAAAATAGGCTTTTACATTTCTACTGCAGTAATTTAAATTAGGCTCAGGACAATTGCACCTGGAAACAATTCTCACATAGTAGCTGTCTCTTAGCTTATGTAAAATGAACTTATGGGCTCAGTCCAGATACCAGGAGCTACTACCTATATCCCAATAAAAAGTTATCTCATCCCTGTCCCAGAAGACATGTAGGTCTAGGAGACCTTCAATTAATGGTTTTGTGACTAAATGAAATACATCTGTAAGTGGGATACATGCCAAGTCATTTGAATCTAGAGACCATTAGGGCTTTGGCCCTAAATTAATCCTTTTTTTAGTAATATTTCACCCCTAAAAAAATTTGCAGAGGCAGTTCCTTGAAGGCCAAAATCTTATATTCATATACTGGTTATTAGAGATGTGACAATACATATTCCTGATTCAGAACAGCACAAAAGCATGTTCACAAATTCATTCATCCAAGGGAAGTGGTGCTGGCTCCTACCCTGGGGGTCTTTAAGAGGAGGCTTGATGCCTACCTAGCTGGGATCATTTGAGCCCAGTTTTTTTTCTCCTGCCCTGGCAGGGGGTCGGACTTGAAGATCTATAAGGTCCCTTCCGACCCTACTTCTATGATTCCTGGCTTCAGTTAGATTTAAGTATGTGCTTAAATATTTCTCTGAATTGATATGCTCTCTAGAAGTAGGTCCAGTTTTATCCTCTCTTGTATTTTAGGTGTACAGTTGTGCACACAAAAATGAAGGCAATATTTCAAAATCTACATTTCAACCTAACAGCTTCCAAAATATTAAATATACTGATTTAAAAAGTCATAAAACATTCCCTTTGGATAAAATTCTGTTTTACTTTTCTTGGAATGTAAATCCAGTGGAAAAAAATGTTACACTGTTCTGCAATTCTAACTGGGGACCTGATCCTGTAACTGAGAGGTCACAGGAAAAGTGCTTCACCTTGACAGAGACCTATTGACTTCTATTTTATAGATTTCTTTTCTATAGAGAAAAGTAATAACTTTTTGGCTGCTATATAATGGAAGTGCTGACCCAACCTTGAACCAGTTCAGCAATTTCTTTAGTTCTTGAAAGCATATTTTATGAAATGATCCACTAACAGCATCCTTAATGTACTTAGACCTCATTTGCCCTGATTGGGAAATTACATAAATATGCTGTTTTATTGCCCCATTCATTGAGTTCTTGAGCTGTTGGAATATTTAATCTAACCAAGTCCAAACTGACAAAAAATCATTCAATCCACTAACTGCACTACTCTTTTAGTTAAATTAAATGAATTATGTGTAAGTACAGAAGGTTGTACTTCTGAATCTTTATTCAGTTGGAAATAATGTAATACTCCAGTTTGCACTTCTCAGTTATTCCTCGTCCTGTGGTTTGTCATGATTCAATATATTTGGCTTCACTACAGGAATTGCATCTCAATTTATCTCTCATCAGTCATGCACTAATATAACATTCTGGTATAAGGAATCAAAGAATTTTGATCAGTTGAGAAATATCTATATATCTCTGTTTGAATTAAATGATTTGTGGTTTTTAAACTCTTTTCCTTTCTCTTAATAGAACTTTGCTTTTCCTTTCTGCACCTGTTTCATAAATCAAATGTTAGTGTTACCCCTTTGGATAAAATAATTAGCAAATATGAATAGCCTTTCAGGTTTGAACCATTTAGGAGGAGAAACTACTGGTAGAAACCAGGTATATTACTTTCTGCACTCCTGTTAATTTAAACAGAGGTTGTGGACAAAGTAGAAGTAAACAGTAGCCTGCTGTTTCTATGTTCAGAAAACCAAGGAAACCTTTACTGTACATTCAATACCCAAAGAGCTCTGTCTCTCTGCTCCCTCTTAGGTTTGGTTTCTGACTGCTTTCTTCATATAATTGTTTTGTTTGTTTGTTTGAAGTCACTCATGTACACACACACACACGTGCTTGCGCACACTTTCCTTGCCAAACAATTTGATATTTGCCTTGTTTGCCATGAGGAAATCCCTCAGAAGCTTTGCTTTGAATCTGAGGTTATTTTGGCCTACCTAGTACTTTCTACTGATTCTGGAAATCTCACAGTACTTAAAGAGATTTGCTCCTTTAACTCGGTGTGAAAGAAGTTGTCCTTAAATCAACTATAAACGGGTCTATGGTCATCTCAGAATCAAATATCTGCTTGATGTCAGCATAAATATATTATTTATGGAGCAGATTAAGAATGTGCCTGATTAAGAACTGAGCAGATTAAGAAGGCAGCATACAACTTCCCTGTCCTAGGAGTCATTCTTGTCTCCATGCTTGCCACTTGCTCAAGTAGGAAAACAGTATCTGTATAAGGGAATAAGGGTAGGCACCCGGCATTTTCCTGAATTAATTTAAGAGCTACACTATAATCCTGCCCTAAAATATACCATTAGACCTATGTGCAAGTCTCTGGAATAAATCAATAAAACAGACTGGATTTTTACTTCCACTAACCCCATTTGCATTTCCAGAGCACTGTAAAAAAACCTTTACACACAGGTAAATGTATGTTAAGGTTAGAACGTGGTAATGGGAATCAGGCCTAGAAAACTGGTATTTTCTATGGAGAATTTGCTGAGTGGTTTGAACAATTTGAAATCTAAGATATATCTAAGATAGATCACTAAGCACTTTACCTAAGATGAGTTCTTAGGTGGTCTTTCACAATGCAGATAAATTTCTTATATCCATCTAGAAAGTGTTCAGCAACTTGCAGGGCTTTGCTGTTAGTGTTTGCCACAGGGGTGAATGAAATGACAGGAAGCTGATGTTAAACCAATATTTACAAAAATATTCTGTATATGTTTTCTTGACCGATTTGTTCTTTTTTTCTAGCTGGTCATTGTGGTTCTCCAGATCCAATTGTAAATGGCCACATTAGTGGGGATGGGTTCAGCTATCGCGACACTGTAGTCTATCAATGTAACCCTGGCTTCCGGCTTGTTGGCACTTCTGTCAGGATTTGCCTCCAGGATCACAAGTGGTCTGGACAAACGCCTGTGTGTGTCTGTAAGTAGATCTTTTTCTATACATGCATACATACATACATACATACATATATATATATATATATATACACACACACACACACACACACACACACACACTGAATATTAATTATGAGTGGGATTTTCAGACTACCTACATCAGTTACAGTCACAAGTTGCATACTCCTTCAACAAATGTTAAGCTATGGTCATCTCATCAAACAATTTACATAGTAGTGATGAAGTAGTAATTTTGTTTGACCTGTAACATATTTTTTTAAAAATGATTGCTTTTTCTATTGATGGCCAGTGGACTTTGGCTAATAACTCATATTGAAGTTTTGAAAATCCTACCAAGCATTACTGAAAGTATTTGGTTTTCTTTCACTTTTTTTCTCTATTGGATGGCAGGTTTATTAATATGTTTTTTGAATCACAGCACTTTAAGAGAAAGTTTACATTAGTGTTAAGAAAGGGAAATTCTGGCTATTAATTTACTGTCCTATGTTGCTTTTGTGTGTGTGTGCACGTGTGTCTAGTTTTCATAAGACTCCAAATACTTATTTAATATTTGGTGGGGCTTTTTTATGTGTACTTTTAATTTTCATCTTCTTTTTCTTCATTTCATAAGCTGTTTCTGTTTGGTTTGCTGACTGTTTGTTTTACAAGTAATGATATGAAGTTGTTGACACAATGAAAGCCAGTAGCATTTTCAGTTTATTTAAAATTTCTGTTCATGTTTTAGAAAGTCATGTAATTTTTAATTTCTTAAAGGAGAATCTTCACAGTGGTAAAATGAGATAGCAGTATATCCACATGGCCATAGCTACTCCCGAAAATATAATTGTTTTTAAAAGCTATTAAAGGCAAAGATGTCATTTATGTCCAATAGTTCCTGAAATTCCTGTATATTAGCTGACTTCTAAAATCAGTCCCCTTGAAAAGTCATGGCTAAAACTGAAGAAGATGAATCAAACTACCTACATCAGTCAGAAACTATCTACATTAATTAGATGTGTTTTATAATTTTTGTTATAGGAGGCACTAGTAGGAACATCTGTGCTTAAGACCGCCCAACATGTTACATTTTAAGGTTACAACTTTGCCAAAACTTAACCATTGAAGCAGAAATTTCTCATGCCCAAGATCTGGTCCTATGTCATTTTTAAGATTCAGAATAATTATCTCACCTGTTTCTGAGAATGAGGTTAGGGAGAAATATTGTCTTCCAATATTAAGTCTTCCCAACTGCTCTGTTGAGAAGCTGTAGTTCTCTGCTGTGTGAAATAGGAACTTGAATGTTGGCAAAGAGTCTCTAGAGCTAATGAAAATTCAAAGAATGTTGCTGTTCTAGTGCAAACCAATTGAAATCTGGGCCAGAATGTACATCCCTTGCTTGCACACACCTACTGGTTGCTAAAGGCTGGCAGTACAATTTTCTCAATATTTATCTTTACTAAGTCTTCCCCAACAACTCTGAGCTAACCATATTCAGCAATCTCCATCCCTATGGAGTTCACAAAGCATACTTCAGTCTAGAGCTCAGCAGAATTCTTCCTCAGTTGCTTCTCCAATGTTCCAGAGTATGCAGTGTCTGAAGGTTCATAAAGAGGCAATCCAGTTCATAAAGAGAGGTACAGCAGTACATAGGCAATCCAGGAAGTTTCTGGAGAGTGTTGGGGGCAACTTCCTGGTGCAAGTGCTGGGGCAGCCAACTGGAGGCCATGGTCTTCTTGACCTGATGCTTACAAGCAGCATGAATGAATTGGTGGGGAATATAGTAGTGGATGGCAACTTGGGCAGCAGTGACCATGAGATGATTGAGTTCAGGATGCTAAGGAAAAGAAGGATGGAGAGCAGCAGAGTATGGACCATTGACTTCAGAAGAGCAGATGTTTCTGACTCACTCAGGGAACTCATGAGCAGGATCCCTTGGGAGGCAATTTTAAGGGGGAGAGGAGTCCAAGAGAGCTAATTCTACTTTAAAGAAACCTGAGAGTGCAGAAACAAAGCATCTCAATGCACAGGAAGACTAGCAAATACAGCAGAAACACAGCTTGGCTTGGTAGGGAACATGTCAGTAAGCTAGATCACATAAGGATAGCTTATAAGAAGTGGAAACTTGGACAAATAGCTAGCAAGGAGTATAAAAGCATTGCTTGGGCATGCAGGGATAAAGTAAGAATGCCAAAGCACACCTGAAGTTGCAGCTAGCAAGGGATGTGAAGGGGAATAAGAAGGGTTCCTACAAGTATGTTGATAGCAAGAAGAGGATAAGGGAAGTGTGGGTCCCTTACTGAATGCGGGATGCAACCTTGTGACAGTGGATGCAGAAAAGGCTGAAGTGCTTTTTTTGCCTTGGTCTTCACAGGCAAGGTCAGCTCCCAGACTACTTCACCAGGCAGCAGAGTTTGGGGAGCAGCCCTCAGTGGTGAAAGAACAAGTTAGGGACTATTTAGAAAAGTTGGACACATACAGATCCATTAGGCCAGATGGGATGCACCCAAAGGATGTGAAGGAATCGGCTGATGTGATTGCAGAGCCACTAGTCATCATCTTTGAAAACTCATGGCTATCAGGAGAGGTATCAGAAAAAGGGCAAATATAGTGCCATATTTAAGAAAGGAGGAACCAGGAAACTACAAACTGGTCATCCTCACCTCAGTCCCAGGAAAAAATTATGGAGCAGATCCTCAAGGAATCCATTTATAAGCACTTGAAAGAGAAGAATGTGATTAGAAGCAGTTAGCATGGATTCACCTGACCAACCTGATTGCCATCTATGATGAGATGACTGGCTCTGTGGATGCTGGGAAATTAGTGGATGTGATATACCTTGATTGTAGCAAGGCTTTTTATAGGGTCTCCCATAACATTCTTGCAGGCAAGGTAAGGAGGTACAGGATGGATGAATGGACTGCAAGATGGAAAGAAAACTGGCTGGAGCATTAGGATCAGAGGGTAGTAATTAATGGATCAATGTCTAGTTGGCAGCCTGTATCAAGTGGAGTGCCCCAGAGGTTGGTCCTGGGGCTAGTTTTCTTCAATATCTTTATCAAGTACCTGGATGATGTCATAGAGTACACCCTCAGCAACTTTGCAGATGACATCAAGCTGGGGTGAGTAGTAGATATGCTGGGTAGGGCTAGGATTCAGAGTGACCTAGACAAATTGGAGGATTGGGCCAAAAGGAATCTCATGAGGTTTGACAAGGACAAGTGCAAAGTCCTGCACTTAGGACAGAACAATCCCATGTCCCAGTACAGGCTGGGGGCCGACTGGCTGGGCAGCAGGTCTGCAGAAAAGTTCGTGGGGGTTAAAGTAGACAGTTAGCTGAATATGAGCCAACAGTGTCCCCTTGTTACCAAGAAGACTAACGGCATACTGGGCTGCATTGGTAGCTGTGTTCCAGGTAGGTTCAGGGAAGTGATTATTCCCCTTTATTCATTATTGGTGAGGTCACATCTTGACTGTGTGCAGTTTTGGGACCCTCAATACAGAAAGGATGTAGACAAAATAGAGTCCAGCAGAGGGTAACAAAAATGGTGATGGGGCTGGGGCACAAGACTTATGAAGAGAGACTGAGGGAACTGGACTTATTTAGTCTAGAGAAAAGAAGACTGAGAAGGAATTTAATAGCAGCCTTCAACTACCTGAAAGTGGGGTGAGGGTTCAAAAGAGGCTGGAGTTAGACTGTTCTTAGTGGTGGCAGATGACAGAACAAGGAGCAACAGTGTCAAATTGCATCAAGGGAATTTTAGGTTATATATTAGGAAGAATTTTCTCATTAGAAGGGTAGTAAACCACTGGAAAAGGTTACCCAGAGAGGTGGTGCAATCTCTATCCTTGGGTGTTTTCAAGACACGGCTAGATAATGCTTTGCCTGGGATGATCTAGTTAGGGGTGGTCCTGGTTTGAGCTGGGGGTTGGACTAAATTATCTCCTGAGGCCCCTTCCAACCCTAATTTTCTATGATTCTATGAACAGGATATAGTACATGTTAGATGTGGGGAGAGGAAGCGTATGGGTATCACAGTAACTTATAAGAGAAAGATGTTCTAATTTTAATTTTAAAAAATCTTTAATTAGCTTTAGGTAAAATATTTGAAAGTGCTTAAGGAAAATGTTTTTCAAAAACAATTGAAATTGGATCCCTGACCATATCTGATATACTCACTAGATGCCTATCTTCACTTCTATCCAAATTTCCTGTAAAAACCTGACCCCAGGTACTGCAGAAAATTAAGTTCCATTTTCAAAAATAACCTAAGCATTTAAGTCATTTGTACACGATTGCTCTGCATCGCAATGCAGCTTGCATGCAGAGCAAGCTCAATTAATCGAGTCTGCTCCGACATGTCAGACGTGTCAGAGCAGACAAATGTATGTGTATAAATGTGCTTAGATGCCTAAGTTTCACTAGGGTCCTAAGTATACAAGTCTTTTTGAAAATCATACTTCATGCTGCTACGAAGGCACTTTCAGTTTTGGCACTTTGAAAAAAGGCATCCTTTACTCTTAAACAGTTTTGAAAAATGTCGTGAAGAAAAAATGACAATACATAATACATTAATAAGTCCCAGATGACCACAGGGATGCAATGATTGTGACAGTCTTCAAGAAAGGAGACAAGTCTGACCTTGGAAATTACAGAGGGATCACCTCTGTGGCCACCATAGGAAAAATCATTGTGAGAACCCACCTCAACCATCTCTTCCACTTATAGATTCATAGATTGTAAGGCTGGAAGGGACCTCAGAAGAACATTGGGTCCAGTCCCCTGCACAAAGCAGGAAAGATAACTCGGGGTCAGGTGACCCCGGCAAGGTCACTGTCTAGTCCCCTCTTGAAGATTTGCAGGGTAGGTGATTGCACTGCCTTTGGAGGGAGCTTATTCTACAGTCTGGACACCCTGACTGTGAAGAAGTTTTTCCTAATGTTGAGCCTGAATCGATCTTCCAGAAGTTTGTGGCCATTACTCCTGGCTTTTGCCATAATGAACAGTTGCTCACCAAGTCCATG